CATGTTTTCTGATTTTAAAGTCTTAGCAAAAGAAAACAGTACATTTATAACATGATAAAGGATAGGTATATGAAACTGACATCATTCTTAACATAAATGTTAAATGCATTCTAAATAAAATTGGAAGTATCTTCTTTCACTGCTTGCTTGAAAGGTTTAGTATATAGCGCAGGATTAGAAAAGAGACAATCAGGACACAAAACAATTATTTGTAGGTGAAATGATTATCTGACTATAAAACACAAGAGAATTACCAGGAAAACTGTTAGAAGCTTCAGTAGAATTTGTTAAGGTGGCCAACTACAAAATAAAAATAAATAATTTTGTAGAATATCAGCACTAATCACTTAAAATATGCAGGAATGAAATAGAATCCATGTATGGAAACAATCAAAACTAAAAATTAAATAAATTAATGATTCACTGTCAGAATTGATGGGAATTGAGCACTGCTTGAAACTTGCTGTTCTAAGTCTATAAAAATGAAAGGAAATAATGTTAAAATACGGTTATCAGGATAGCCAACCATGGTCAAAACCAGGAAAGAGAAGTCTTCATTGGTTAGAAAGAGGGAAGTCCACCTCTACCCCCAAAGAAAGGAGCAGATGGGAATACAGCAGGGGATTAGGAATGAAACCTGACGAAGCATGCTGCCCTGTCCAAGTGTAGCCGGGGGCCAGAAAGATGCCATCTGCCATGGCTAGGGATTGAGAAATACCATTTATGTGTCTTGTGTGTCTGGAGCCAGGGTGCTTCCACAAAGGCTGATGAAGAAGGTTGGGGCCAGTGTGATACTACCCACCCAAGAACGCATCACCAATCCAGACATCTAAGAAAATCTGTGGAAGACCAGCTTTTGGCCAAAGATCACAAAGTACCTAAGGTGGAAGAAAATCATAAATGTAACGACTAACATTAAAAACGAAAAAATATTGTCGAACGCTACTATATGTCAAACACCATTCTAATGCATTAATTCTGACAACAATCCTATAAATATCATGACACTTATAGGATTATAAGATTATAATCTTATAACCCTATAATTCTATAAGATTATAAAACTATAGGATTATAATACTTAATGCTATATGTTTTATCCCCATTTTACAGAATGGTGAAACAAAGGTACAGAGACGTTACCTTGCCTACTAAGTAATGAAAGTACAATTTCAATCCAGGTAGTCTAGCTCTGGAGAGCACACCCTTAACCACTCTTTTTGCTACTTGCTTATACCTGAAGAAACAAATCTCAAAAATGGCTTATGAAGAGAATATAACCTTAAATATAAAAACAGAAACAATGGCCAGAAAAATAACTGGTTGTAAACAAACATTTAGCTATGAAAAAGAATAAGTGACTATGGTAGGGAATTAGAAATCAGAAAGAGTTATTGAAATAAATTCAGCAGATAGCATGAATCCAACTGAAGAACATTAGTATGTTGAAATATCAAAACTGAAAAAATGAAAATGGTAAGGGGCTGTTTTCAGTGAAGGTATAATAACAAGGACTGATTTAACCCTCAACCCGAAACAACCAACAGAATCCAGGCAAAACATGTAGAATAAAGGTTTTCATTGCAAAGGACAGTGATTCCAGAGAGGAAACAAATGAAGTGAGCCAGATAGTTGCCCCAGTTTACTGCTCTCTGAGTGTTTCCAGACCACAATGGAGTGGGGGGTGGGGAAGAATCCAGATGGGACCCAGTGGACACCTGGAATTGAGCAGAAGGAGCTTTTAGAGTCCAGGGAAACCGTAGCAGGCAGAGAGAGCTGGCAGGAGAACGCCTCAGAGGAGAACTGCACCTAGAGAGCATTCCGGAGTCTGCAGGTTTCCTGCAGGTATTTAGCCGAGTGTTGGATAGCACATGTGTGCAAGGAAAGTGCCGAAAAAGTTGGAGGAAAGAGCCATCCAAAAGTAATAGAGGGAGCAGTATACCATGCTAACAGGACTGAGAATAGTGTCTGTATCCAACCAGAATGGAAACTTCATAAATTATGAGACTTTGAGTAAAGAACTCAGGAGGGTATTACCTCAACAATGGGGAATAATTAGCCCTATGTTTATTATAAATTGGACTCTGGTCCTGACTGATAAATCCTAAAAGACCCAAAAGGATCGAACTATTTTCAGACAACTGCGTCTCATTACAAAGCTCAAGTATATGTATAGAAATAGGAAAATATCCAGCAGCAAACAAGGTAAAATTCACAATGTCTGGCATCCAATAAAAAATTATTAGGTATGCAAAGGAGGAAAATACAACCATGATGAGAAAAATTCAGTCAGTTGAAACATACTCAAAATTGCCACATATGTTAAGATTACCTGACAAAGACATTAGAACTGTACTCCATGTGTTCAAAAGTTAAATACATGCCTTGGCTGGTGTAGCTCAGTGGATTAAGCACAGGTCTGCGAACCAGAGGATCACAGTTCGATTCCCTGTCAGGGCACATGCCTGGGTTGCAGGTTGGTTCCTTGCAGGCCAGTTCCCAGCAGGGGATGCATGAAAGGTAACCATACATTGATGTTTCTCTCCTCCCTCTCTCCTTCCCCTCTAAAGATAAATAAATAAAATCTTAAAAAAAAACCAAAATGTGTCTTTAAAAAAAAAGTTAAGTACAGGCATGGAAGATATATTTCTTAAAGCTCTTAAATGAACAATGACAGATGAAATGAATGTGATGTAAGAAAAATTGGGAAAGGCCCATTTCATGAGCATCGTGAATACTATACAGGAAGATTTAAATTAATAGATGATTTAACATTGTTAACTTGTTCATTTGTCCCAAAATAATAGGTAGTTTTCATATAATTCAAGTCAATTCAAATGGAATTTGTTTTTGGAATTGATCAATATTTTTAAGTTCCCAGAGGGAATGAAAAGGCTTATGGTAATGAAAGGTAACAAAGATTTCTTTAACCCATTTCATGCAATGTAAAGTTAAGAATTAAAATTGTGATGCTGACAAAAGAGACACATGCAGCTAATCCATAGGTGTATGGCAGTTTACTATGTGATAAAGGGAGCATCCAAATTGAGTGGTAAAAGGGTAGATCATTCAATAAATAGTATTGGGCAACTGACTTATTTCTGGAAGGAAAAGTTACAGATTATATTTTCCAACCTAATTCCAGGGAGTTACATATTTAAGTATCTATGGATGAGAGAGGGGAAATAAACCTTCAAGTGCTAGAAGAGAATACTGGTGAATAATTATATAACCTTTGCATGGGGAATAACTTTCCAAGCATAATGCTAAGGGAAAATAGTAGAGGAAAACAGTAGATAACACATCAACCATTGATTTACAAAATTCTAAAAACAAAGTTTAATGTGACCAATATATTTACTCTGTGATAGTGTTTATGATATGAAAGATAATTTTAGAAACTAATAAAATGAAATACTATAAAAATGAAGTTAAAAATATGTTTTAGGACTTCTGGCCAAGATGGCGGCATTGGTGGAAACACTACCTCTTCGCACAACCAAATTTAAGGACAACAAAGATTTTGAAAGAAAAACAACCAAAACAGACAGAAAATTGAACTGTACAGAAGTTCGACAACAACGAACCATTCATCCAGACCAGTAAGAGGGGCAGAGTCAGAGACCGGCAGAGAGAGGTCCCGGCAGGAAAAGGCACTGGTTAGTGGACCGAGCGGGTGTGGGACGAAAACCCAGTAAGGCACACAAGGCGGCTGGCTGACTGTGGACAGACATTCATGTGCAGATAAACCAGGCAGGTTTAAAAACGATCAGTGAGACAGACCTCGCAACCCAGGGCCCCAGCAATGGGAAATAAAGCTTAAAAACACCGATTGGAAAAACTTTTGGGGGTTGAGGTACCAACAGAGGCTTCCAGATTCACAGGAGAGTCGGTTGGGGAGACCACAGGGTCCTAGAACGTTCACAAGCCCACCCACCTGGGAACCAGCACCAGAAGGGCCCAATTTGCTTTTGGGAAGCAGCAGAGGGTATCTAAATTCAAGAGAGGAACAAGCCCCATCCCTCCCTCTCTGACCCTACCTCCACATACAGCATCACAACCCAGTGACTTGGGTTGCCCCACCCTGGTGAACACCTAGGCCCTGCCCCTCACTACATAACAGGCAGGAACAGACCAAAACATTATGGCTCAAGTAGAAGTACAGCTCAAAGCCCCAGAGCCAATACTTATAAGTGAACAAGAGATAACCAGCCTATCTGATGCACAGTTCAAAACACTGGTGATCAGGATGCTCACAGAACTGGTTTATTTTAGTCACAAATTAGAGGAACAAATGAAGGCTAAACTAAGTGAAATGAAGCAAAATGCACAGGGAACCAATAGTGATGGGAAGGAAACTGGGACTCAAATCAATGGAGTGGACCAGAAGGAAGAAAGAAACATTGAACCAGAACAGAATGAAGGAACAAGAATTCAAAAAAATGAGGAGAGGCTTAGGAACCTCCAGGACATCTTTAAATGTTCCAACATCTGAATCATAGGGGTACCAGAAGGGGAAGAGGAAGAGCAACAAGTGGAAAACTTATTAGAACAAATAATAAAGGAGAACTTCCCCAATCTGGCAAAGGAAATTGACTTCCAGGAGGTCCACACATACCTGGGTTGTGGGCCAGGTCCCCAGTAGGTGGCACTTGAGAGGAAACCACACGTTGATGTTCTTCTCCCTATCTTTCTCTTTCCCTTCCTCTCTATAAATCAGTCAATCTTTTAAAAAATAAATAAAACGTAAGGTTTTGTTTTAACATTCTTTTCTTCCTTTTTTTTAAATTTTTTAATCTTTAGAGGGGAAGGGAAGGAAAGAGGGAGAGAAATATCAATGTATGGTTGCTCCTTGTGCATCCCCTGTTGGGAACTGGCCTGCAACCCAGGCATGTGCCCTGACTGGGAATCGAACTGCTATCCTTTAGTTCGCAGGCCCGCGCTCAATCCACTGAACTATACCTGCCAGGGCTTAACATTTTTTTCTATCTTTTTTTCAGTTCTGCTTGAGATTTCAAGAATTTTAAATACTGGCTTAGATATGGAGACTCTGTCTATTTGTGTACGGCTTTGTGAACAAGGAATTAACCCAGAAGCGTTATCGTCAGTTATAAAGGAACTTCGAAAGGCTACTGAAGCACTAAAGGTAAAGATTCAATTGTTAGTTCATTCTAAATAAAGATGGATTTGTTTAGAAGGTAATTGATGATGAAGTTATATGAAAGATCTTAAACGTGATTAAAGAACTTCTGTTACTATCAGAAGAAATTCTGAAGACCATTATCTTAGCATATGTTCCAATCACAAAGTTGCTATTATCATGAATCATGTTTTTTTCCCTAGCTGTTTTCTCCAGCAGTGTTTAGAATTTTCCCTGTGTGGTAGGTAAATGATGTCTGCCCAAAATAACATATGCTCAGGTCCAGGTCCTGTGAATATGATCTAGTTTGGAAGTAATATATCTGCAGGAATAATCAAATTAAGATGAGATATTAATGGATTAATGCCTGATGTCCTGATAAGGACAAGTGACATTTAGACACAGAAACACAAAGAACCATGTGAAGGCACATACACAGGAGGGGAAAGTGCCATGTAATGACAGAGGTAGAGACTGGAGTGATGACATCTATTAGCCAGAGAAGGCCAAGGACTCCTGGCAGCCACAAGAAGTAAGGGGGGACCCTCTGCCAGAGCCTTCAGAGAGTCAGTGGCCCTCTGCCTCTAGAGCTGTGGGAGAATGATTTCTGTTGTTTTAGATTACCCAGTTTGTGGTACTTCGTTATGACAGCCTCAGACATCTAATGCAGGTGTACTGCTGGGAAGTGGAGTGCTGCTCTAAGAGATACTTACAAATGTGGAAGTGGCTTTGGAACTGGGTAATGAATAGAGATTGGGAGGTTTTAGTGCACTTGATAGAAAAAGCCTAGATTATCTTGAAGAGATGATTTGTAGAAATATGGGCATAAGAGGCGATTCTGGTGAGGGCTCAGAGAGAGGAGAGCTGTAGAGGAAGCTTCAGTCATCTTAGAGAATACATATATCATTACGAATAGAATCTTGCAAGAAATAAGGACTTTAGTGCTCCTGGTGAAGTCTCAAGTGGATGTGGGGAACATGTATTAGTCACTAGAGGAAAGACTATCATTGCTATAAAGTGAAGGAGCACTGACTGAATTACATTTCACTGTTTGGAACAAAAGTAAAATTTGTATGTGATGAACTTGGATATTTAGCTGAAGAAATTTCCAAAGTGTGGATGTGCAGCTTGTTATCTTCTTGCTACTTAAAGTAAAATGTAAGAGGAATGAGAGATTGAAGAGGGTAAGCAAAAAGGAAGTAGCACTTGCCTTGGAAAATTCTAAGCCTGTCCAGACCACACAGTGGGGAGAAGAGGACAGGAGTGTGGTTGGGGAACCCATTGGTGAAGAAGGTGGGTGTATGGTTTCTAGGTGCAGTCAGCCATCCAGCACAGAACACTTCCAGGTCAGACCAAAAGGGACCTGTACCATACAAAATGAAGGAAGACTGTCAGAATTTGGGCATTCCACAGCCCCAAGAAATTGGCCATGGGAATTAACTGCCTGTGAACATGAGTTTATTTTCGAGGACAAGGGAAGAATAACTCAGGCGCTCAGAGACCAAGGAACTGCTGAGGGCAATTGGATTGCACTACCACCATGGGCCCAGAGGACCGCCTTATGTCAAATTCAAATTTGGCACCTTTTAACTGCTGAAATTTGGAGCAGGAAAAGTGTTCCCTGTCTTGCTTACACACACTGTGATTTAAAATCTCGGGCGAGATTGTTTCCTTGTTTATATAGCACTAACTCACTGTGCAAGAAAACTGAAAGTTCAGTTAGCCTTGTTTAAATCTTCTAGGGACAGAGTGGCTTTTCTTTAGCCTTATTTCTTTTCTTTGAGGAAATAGAACTATATAAAACGTGTAACTTATCCATCTCACGTTGTTATTCATCAGTAAGTTTTAGTAATTTGGGTTGTTGGTTTTGTGCCCTTTAAAACCTTTTGATTATTAAAATAACATTAAAAAGTAAACAAAACACTTGCCATGAAGAGAGTTGTCTATGCATCTCTCATTGCCAGCACCGTAGAAGTCCCCTTGTGTCCCCCCATCACTGACTTCTCCTTCCTGCTTCCCCCTCCAGTTAACCACTGCCCTGATTTTTATGGTAGACACTCCCTTTGACAGCTTTATTGACTAAACATGGATCTCTAAACACTGCAGTTTAATTCTATAAAAATTTTCTACTCAGTATAAATGGAATCTTACAGCACAATTCTTTTCTTACTGGCTTCTTTCATTTAACATGTTTGTGAGGTTCCTTTATGTTGTATGTAGCTGTAATACATCTTTACTGTAATAATCATGTTTCATTTTACAAATATGACTTATTTATCTTTGCCACTGTGAGTGGAAATTCATTTGCTTCCAGGTAGAGATTTTTGTATTATAATGCAGGTTGAGCACTATAAAGGAACCAAAGGCAAATATAACCTGGCTAAAAAGAACACGCAAGAGAGACTGACAGAAGTATTTGGTACAGTAGTTTCTTAGACAAAATAAAACCCCAGGTACTAGGCTCGGGGTTTAGAACTACCTAAATAGCATAGCGTTTTCAATTCTGAGCATACTGGTTATTTCACATTCAGTGGACCGGGGTCTGATAGGAAGGCAAAATGAATAATTAAGTTGAATAAATCAAAAAGTGTTGCCCATTTGAATGGAAGATCAGTAACACACACATACACAAAACCTTTTAAAACACATTTCTACCATAATCTAAAACCAGAATGCCAGTATCTTATTAAAACTGGGTGTTGGAGGAGATCCTTGAAGTCTCAGCAAAGAAGTGCTAGTTAGAATCTTTTCTTGTTTTCTTTAAAGTAATTTTCAAAATCTGTGTAATTTTTATAAAAATAATAAATGCTTATTCTTTAAAAATATTTAAATTAGAAAAAGGCCACAAAAGTCAATTCAAGATTCTTTTAAAAGATTTTATTTTATTTTTTAGAGAGAGGGGAAGGGAAAGGGAAAGAGAAGGTGAGAAACATCAATGTGTGGTTGTCTCTTGCACGCCCCCTACTGGGGGGACCTGACCTGCAACCCAGGTATCTGACCTGACTGGGAATCAAACTTGCAGCCCTTTGCTTCACAGGCCTGCACTAAATCCACTGAGCTATACCAGCCAGGAAAAGTCATTCAAGATTACATAGGAGATAACCATTGATAATATTTAGTGAACACTGTTCTAGATAGTATCAAGCTACTTTAAAAATCAAATTATTATACTCAGTTTTGTTGAATTATAGAATAACCTTCCTTGGGTTACTTCCCTCTAGATTAAGGTTATTCTCTATTGACTGGTACTTTGGATCATGGTTGGGACTCATTGGTAAAGAATGATAAGCATAAGTTGGTCAAAAGTTTATAAGCATACATTTTTTGTGTGGTTGTTGCTACCGAAATTTTTTGTCATATTTTTTGTTTATTTCTGTTGGTATGAAAAGTAGAGTAAGGAGAAACCGTTCCTGCTGCATTTCTACCATCTTTACCTAGAAATTGTCCTGATTAGAATCATTTTGTCTTTCTCTTTCACAGACTTGTGTATTGATAGTTATTTAAGTCATTTATAGTAACAGCTACCCAATTAGATCACCCAGTTAGGTCAGTTTTTAAGCAGCAGTAGGTAAGCTACCTTTGGGTATCTCCCATAGCATAAATAGAACTGTGGATTAGATGCATTTCTTTAAAAATAGACCTTACTTTTAATGAATGATTCTTTTATGAACCTTGAATTTTTGTGGTTTCCTTCGTGTTAGTATTTATAGTTAGACAATTATTTACATATTATAATTTCAGAAGTTCTAAGCAAGACCTGCTTTTCTATATCTCGTAGTTTGTGCTACCTGAATTATAATGCTATTGATACCTTCCTATACGCTAAGCTGTGCTCTTTCTCTTGTAGCTGTCCTGTGCTATGATCTTAGGGTGAGTGATGTATCTCTCACTGTGTAGGAAGGTCTGCAGCATGAGAACATTGGAGCAGTAGAATTTGTAGTTGAGAAAGAAGCAAGGAATTAAGTCATATGTTTCCCATCCATCCTTGGGTGGGGGGGGAGGAAAAAAAAACCTTGTACAGGAAAGGGAACTTCGGAAGAAAAGACTTCTAACACTGGTTTTTCCTAGGCCAAATTCTTACAAATTTGGGGAGTCTTTAGTGGCCATCCGGTAACTAAAGTGGTCTCTAGGATGCCATTGCTGTTCTTTTGAATAGAAGGTAATTCTGCATTCATATAACATGAATGCTACACAAAATTGGCGGCTTATTTAGTTTAAGTAAAAATACTTGTTTCATTTTTGATGTATCATACTTGACATATTATCTGTGTCTTGGAGGAGAACCTCTAAAACTAGCATAAAAATTGGGGCAAGACAAATTAAGCTACATTAAAGTTAAGGTGTTTCCTTTTTAAAAATCCTAAAGTTATGTATATTAGTTCAAGTCTTTGAAGTAAATGTTACTGATGGTGGGATTAGGTAGACGACAGAGCGAGTGCCGAAAGGGCATGTGGCTAAAGCTGATGGAGGATGGTTTGACTTTAGGTGGTGGGCACCCAGCGCAATGTACAGACCTAGTATCAGTACACATAAATGTACGCTTGAAACGTCTGTGATCTTATACTGAATATGAGTTTAATTTAAATTTGTTTAAATTTAACTAAAAATTAAACAGTTAAAAAAGAAGAAACTATATACAGCCTTAGAACAAGGCATGTTGTTATTTTTCAAAATAGGTCTTAATTCTTGAGAATTTGGTAAACCCAAAGAAGGAAAAGTCTAATTTAGAATAGCCAACTATATACATAAATGATAGGTTGTGTTGACTGGGAATGTTTGAGATTGAGTTATCTATAGTATTCCTGATATCTAAAATTCATGAAAGACTTCTGAATTTTAGACAAAACTTAAAAGCAAGTTTTAATTAAGAAGTAGAAATATAAATGAATTAAAAGCTTACCATGTGTTTCTGATGTTAAACTTACTTAAAATCAGTATTTTCAGTTTTGGCATTAAGAAATTGTTTAAATTCTTATTTTCAGAAAAGCATATCAAGTCATTTATTGATGAATAATTTGGTGTCTGGGAATTTCTGCAGAACAGTCATGGAAAGCAGGATTAGACCTTCTTCATATCTTATTTAATCGTAAATAATGGTTGGTACTGTAGGTGAAGCAGGATTAGCTACGAGTTTATTATTTTTTTCTTTTTTCTCCAACTTATAGACTAACAGAAAGGTCTAATTCCACCTTATCCCCTTTTCATACTGCAGTGAAAACATGGAGAAATGACAAACTAATTAAGACTGTGGATAAGGTCTTCTGAGGTTAATTTTTCAAGTAGCATATTTTTACATAAACTATATTGTTTAAGATTAAATAATTTCCTACTTTCAGCTTAGCTATCAGTTTAAAAGACACTTTGAATGTACTTTAAAAAGTGAAAACCACTGCATTATCCTGATAAAACTCATTTCATACATGCTAGGGAGGATTCCTTTGTTAGTGACAGTGTGGTATGGACAAATTTATTCCCTTGGTTTTAGTGTAATGAATCTTACTTTCTTGTTATAGGCTGCTGAAAATATGACAAGCTGACTTTCTGGAAAAATCCTGATAAGATGTGAAGCACTGCAAGAGGACTTGAAGATCACATCGTAGTTGAGAATGTGCAATGAAATTACTATGTGCAGCAGTATAGCAACATTTTCCTTTTTAAAATAATTATAAAACTGTAGCTTTATAAATCAGTGAAAAGTGGCTTACAGAGAGAACTATCAGATGTGTTTACATCACATCTTACTTTTTTAAACGGCTCGAATGCTTTGGCATTATTACAGTGTTGATATTTATGTATTCCTTATTTGTAGAGCTGATAGCTTTAATTTTCTAAGCGGTCTGTCCCTCAGATGTGCACATCTGCTGTGCCCGTTTGAAGTAGAATGGACGCATTAGTAGTAATGGAGTAGTTACGACTTGCTGACATTTTCATTATAAACTTTAATTTTAAATTGTTTATGCAGAATAACTGGATTTTATGTTGCATTGGACTCAAGGTTGACAGAATTTCAACCACCATTTGTGAATTTTGATTTAGATTCATTATGTACATCAGAATCTTGGTTTTTTTCCCCAGAGCACAAAAAAGTTGTTACAATATATAAAGAATATTTAGTTTTTAAATGTGAAGTTTGGCAGTTGATAGTGTGAACCAGATCAATTTTGTATTGGTTGAAAAAGAAAACTTTTAAAAACATGGATTTTAAAAGTAATGATAGTACTTAGCTTAGTATTATTTGTCATTTGAATCATTTAATGAGAATGTTAATCGAGAATGTTTTTTCCTCTTAGTTTTATACTCTGTAAATGATGGCCTAAAAAATAATGCCTGATGAAACATTTTCAACATACAAAAGTCTTTTTATTTTTATCATGTAAAAATAATTTGAGTACTTACCTAATATATCTTGAATGGTTAGTAGTTATCTAATCACTATAATGGAAGTGTCATTCAGCAAATATGTTACTATTTTCTGGAGGAATAAAGATTTTCAGTCATTAAACAAAACCTAAGTAATCAAAGGGTCCGTAATGTCTTTCTAAAATCATTTTTGTGTCATTATTTTTATTCTAAAAGTTTTAACTAATTGAAATTTTCTTCAAAACATTGATCCTGTTTCTATAACAGAATCTTAATGTAATATTTTTCACAAAACTAATAATACAAATTTAATCTGGTTTTATCTTAGACTTTGTTAGCTTCCATTTAAATGATTGTATATTTACTCTTTAGTAGCATTATTTTTTTGTTCTTCAGAAAAACCAAAGGGATTTTAGTAAAGCTTAGTAATAATTAAATGGCAACCTTCTGTAGTGTGTTAAAAATCTAGTCTGTTAATCATTTTGACTTTTTGTTTTGTATTGATTTTTTTAGAGAGAAACATCGATTTGTCGTTCCACTTGCTTTTGCATTCATTGCTTGTTTCTTGTATGTACCCTGACCAGGGATCAAACCTACAACTTGGCATATCGTAACAATGCTCTAACCAACTGAGCATCCTGGCCAGGATGACCATTTTGATTTTTTTAAATGGATAGCATCTTTACCAAGTGCCACGGAAAGTCTATTATTGGGAGAGTTGATTGGGATACAATAAGAACTTGAGATGATAAGTCATTTATTTGCTGATAAATACTGCAAATGCTGCATGTTCTTATTTATAAAATCATAGAACACTCAAGTTCCAAAACTTGTATATACTTTATAGATTATTAGAGTTAATGGTTTAATTATTTATGACTGTAGGTTATTTATGTATGAAAGCAGGAAAATATATTGAGGAGTTTTGTTTACAGAGGACTTCTTTAGTATGTTACAGTTCTTAAATATAAACATATTTTTAATGCATACCTAAGTAATATTTAAAGAAGCCAAAGTAATGATACAATCACAGTGTTGTGCATGTTGACAGTGACAAAAATAAAACTATTTGGGTGATATCAGCATGTACTTTTCATTTAACATGTGTCTGTGAATTCAATTTGTGTTTCTGTATGTACTCTATAAATATTTAGATACTTATTTGGTGTGTGACTGAAGAGTGTTTAAAGATAGGCTGTGTAATATACAATGTAAAATTAGGCTTGAGGTATAAAATGGAAGACTTTTCCCCTGATAGTGAAAGGAAATAACCGTATTAACATTGCCCCAGGCTTGGCATATTAAATGTGTGAGATTACAGTTTTCTATATTTCCAAAGAAAGCTTCTGACAAAATGGATATTACAAAACTTCCATTTTATTTTTATCCTCAGCCAAGGACTTGCCTGTTCATTTTAGAGAGAGGGGAAATCAGGGAGAGAAACACCCATTGGTTCCTCTTCTGTGTGCCCTGACCAAGGACTGGACCTCCAGCATGGGCATGTGCCCTGACAGGGAATCAAACCCATGACTTTTCAGTTTACGAGAACATTCCAACCAACTAAGCCATACTGGCCAGGGTCAAATATCAATTTTTATTTTTATTACTTATTTAAAAATTACTTATTTATCTTTAAAGGGGAAGGAGAGAGGGAGAGAAATATCAATGTATGGTTGCCTCTGGTGTGTCCCTGCTGGGAACTGGCCTATAGCCCAGGCATGTGCCCTGACTGGGAATTGAACCACGATCCTTTGGTTCTCAGGCCCTGCTCAATCTACTGAGCTAAACCAGCCAGGGCCAAGAATCAATTTTTAAAGTTATTTAAATTAATTGAAATTAAAAATTTCTCACATTAGCTACATTTTTTATTGTAAAAAATATACAACATTAAATTTAACATTCTAAGCTGTACAGTTTAATGACATTAATAGCGTTTACATTATTGTGCAACCATTACTATTATCCAGAACTCTTTCATTATCCAAACAAATGCTACCCATTGAGGGGTAACTCCCCATTCTCCCCTTCTCCCAGCCCCAACATTTTTCTTTCTCTGTGTTTTTGACTATTCCAGGTCCCTCACATAAGTGGAATCATGGAATATGTGTCTATTTAACTTAGTGTGATGTCTTCAAGTTTCATCCATATTGTATCCTGTGTCAGAATTTCATTAGTTTTGAAGGCTGAATACTATCCCATTTTACTGCAGTAAATGTATTTACTGCATTATGTTCATCCATTTATCTGATGAAGGATATATGAATTGTTTCTATCTTTTGGCTCTGGTAGATAATGCTGCTGTCAACACTGGTGTGTGATTATCTGTTTAAGCCCCTTGCTTTCAGTTCTTCCCAGTATATACCCAGAAGTGGAATCACTGAATCAGACTGTAATTCTCTACCTAGTTTTTTTAAAGAACTAATTTTTTAAGGAACTGTTTTTGTTTAAATAATAGCCATCCTAATAGGTGTGAAGTGGTATTTAATTTTAACTTTTATTCCCCTAGTGATTAATGATGTTGAATATCTTTTCCAATATTTATTGGCTGTATTTTGGGAGGAATGTCTGTTCAAGTCCTTGGCCCAAGTTTTAATTATTTTTGTTGTCATTTAGTTCTAGTTGATCTTTATATATTCTGTGATATTAATTGCTTGTTGGATATTTGATTTGCAAATACTTTCATTCTGTGACTTGCTATTTTTACTCTCTTGATAGTGTTCTTCGATGCACACATTTTTAAAATTTTGGTAAAGTCATGTTTTTATCTTTTGTTGCCTGTGTATTTGGTGTCAGCAGAGGTGCCATGTAGACAGCCAGAGCTTGCTGGCATGTCTGGAAGAACCAGACATGGCAAGAGCTTTGCAGCTCCTACAGTCTCACCCGAGAAAAGGATGGGAGCCAGGAAGCCACACTACATAGTCGTTGGGCCCTGGAGTCTCCCTTAATTTTCATCTCAGTGACTGGGGCAAGTTACTTCTGAGATACAGTTTCCTCATCTGGAAAATGGGGAAAATCATTGCTACCTCAGACTTAGGAGGATGAATTCAGACTTGATCTCAAATACCTGAAATATATTTAAATGCTTGTTTTTACACATGCATCTAACATCCCTCCCCCTCAAACACAAATATTCCTTTGGGTTAGGAGCAAAAGGGCTGTTTAAGAATTGTTCATAAAACTGGGATGGTAGAACAAAGTAGGTGCCTGTGATCAAATGCTGGTCTCTAGGCAAACCACTTTGACTCTTTTCCTCACTATGTAACCTGCTTTAGTTTTGCTTACCACTGACACTGCTTTAACACTCCCCCAAAGACAGCCAAAATCTTTTAAGACCTCTAAGTGACAGTTTAGATTTCTTTGTTAGGAAACTTATGGGCTAGATGGTGTTTCCCCGAAATTCATATGTTGAAGTCCTAACCCTCAGTACTTCAGAAAGTGACTATGGAGAACGGATCTTCAAGGAGATCAAGTTAAAATGAGGCCATTAGGGTGAGTTTTAATCCAAACTGACTACTATCCTTATAGAAAGAAGAAGTGTGGACACAGACACCAGGGATGCATGCACATAGTAGAAAGACCATGTGAGGACATATTAAGTGACCACAATCACCAAGCCAAGGAAAAGGGCTTTAGAAGAAAAGCCCCTCAACACCTTGATCAGGGACTTATAGCCTCCAGATCTGAGAAAAGGAGCATCTGTTGGTTTAGCCCCCCAGTCTGTAATACTTCATTATGCTAACTCTAGGAAACATACAGAAACAAATATTTACAAAGTCCCCATAATAGACAAACCTTTGTAGTCAGCCCCCAAGGAGTAGTGAGAAAGCTGAACAAGTTGGGGAGATGAAAGACTTTTAAAAACAAGGAAAATCCTTTGAGGGTCTGTCTGCCCTAACCCTCATTGATGAAGAGGCACCCTGAGGTTGGTTCTACTCAGGAGCTCAGCAGAAAACAAACCAGGGGACCATACAACCTCTTGGGAAACCTGAAATCTGAAGTAATAAAATTTTGGTTGTTGGTGGTTGTGAAATAGTTTATTTGAGGAACATAGTCCTATAGTTAAGAAGACTGACACCATTGAAGGTTAACATTTAAATTAATAGAAATCTTGGGGGAAGTCCACATTTTATATGGCAGAAATGTGTGTCTCACTATTGAAACATTAGAAATTGGTTGCATCATTTACATGCAGGCAGCTTGAAGAGTCTGGAATGGACTGTTGCTGAGAAATCAAGATGGCAGCCCACTGTAGATTAGGACCTCGTAGAAACTGGATTAATATAAAGATGCTATGATACCAATGGCAAGGGTATTTTTGCACAAACTTCATTAAGTGAACAGTTTTACATAATAAAAACAGGAAATGGATTTGCTTTTCTGGAGACTAGTCTTGAGTCATTGAAACTTTAATTAAATAAAAATAGTTTCATGCCTATTTAAAAAAAACATTTTTACACGAATTTTTTGCTTATGATGGGGAATCCTTGACTGAGAGGACAAAAGCAAGAGCAGGACTTGCAAGCGAGGGAGAAAAGATAGGCAGTCTAGAAAAAGTAAATCTTGCACATTTCTGGCAGTAAACTAATTGGCTGGTATTCTGTTCTTGAGTAAGCTGGTATTCTGTTCTTGAGTAAGCTGGGTAAAGGTATCAAAACAATTTAAGTTGTTATGGATTCTCCAGGAAATCAGGTGAGTCCACAAAAACTGCATGAGACAAAATCTGTGTCTTGAGACTTTGATGCAGGACTGTGGCATGGAACGTGGCAAAATTCACTCTGTGGCTTCTGCTACAAGAGGAGAAGGAACATCCTGCTGCCCTTGTTAATGACTTGATTCAAAATGTTACCAATGAACCAGATTTCCTTAAGAAGGTCATAACTAACTGGAGATGAATCATGGATATACTACTATAATGTGGAAATAAAGGCCCAGCATTCCAGTGAAAGTCTCCTGGTTCTCCATGCCCAAAGAAGGCAAAGTCACAGCAAGATCAAAACATGTTAACTGTGTTTTTTTGATTGGGAAGGTGCTTTCCATCATGAGTACAGCCCTCCAGACCAAACAATTAACAAGGAGTACTACTTCAGTGTTCGTCGCTGGCTGAGAGGTACAATATGATGAAAACGGCCGCAGCTTTGTGCAACTAGAGATTGGCTGCTTCATCGTGATAATGCGCTTGCTCGTGCATCACGTCTTATTCAGAGGTTTTTGGTGGAACATCATATCATTCAGGTGACTCAGCCCCCCTACAGCCCAGATGTGGCGCCATGTGACTTCTGGCTTTTCCTAAATCTAAAATCACCTTTGAAAGGAAAGAGATTTCAGACCATCGCTGCAATTCAGGAAAATACAACAAGGCAGCTGATGGTGATTCCAACAAAGGACTTTGCAGAGTGTTTGAATAGTGGAATAGATGCTGGGAGAACTGTGTGAGGTCTCAAGATGCCTACTTTGAAGGGGACTGAGGCGTCATTGTCCTATGTACAATGTTTCTTCTATCTTGTATCTTAAATAAATGTCTCTCATTGTAAGATGGCTGGATACTTTCTGGAAAGACCCTGTTTATAGCTCACAGTGTTACCAAGATTAAATGGAGTTATGTAAAATCCACAGCATACCAACTGGCATGTAGCAGGAGATTCATAAATGTTAATCTTCCACTTTATACTTGTTTTAATTGGACTTATCTAGCAACTTAATTTCAGAAGTGGCCCAATGAATCTGAATAGACAAATTCAAAATTCACTTTATTCTCACCAATTGGATTAGACCTCATGTTTTTATAAACTTATTTTTATATTCTTTTGGAAATACAGACAAAATATTTAAATGTAAGCATATCCTATGTTCGTACAGGGAGAAAGATCAAGACTAATAAAACCAAAATATTCATGTGTAGCTAAATCTTAGTACGAAGACTTGCATGGCTAATTAGTAAAAAGGAGCTCATGAGGATGAGAACTTGTTGGAAGAAGACGTAAAGATCATGAATAACTTTGAAATCTCTATTTCAACATAAAAAGAGCTCTTGTCATTTGCTTCTTTCAGATAAACTTAATGGGAATATCGATGATATTTG